CAATGACATTCGCCTTCCCGTGCTTTTTCCAGCTGGTGCGGATTCGCCAAAACCGTCGGAGAAGTCGCCGCAGCCGCTTTGAATTGCGAGCGCGAGGACTGGCACGAGAAACATACCGGGCTGCCGCGATGTGCCACGATCTACCAAGCTGCCAAGAGTTTGGCGTTCCTGTACCGGCGGAAACTCCAAGAAAAGCTCCTTCAGCCGTGATTTCGAGCCAACCTGAGGTGGCGCCTGTCGTTTCGCAGTGAAGTTTTGTGATGTTGTAAATAAGCATATGTAATTCACAGTTTCGTCCGGTTATTATTATTCACCACTATCTGGTAGACGCTGTTATTATTACCTGATCCTAAATAAGCTTACTATACAGATATCCCTGCATGAGTCGGTGAGACTGAAAATTGAAGAGCTCATGACACTACTTGAATAAACCGATTATAAAGATCATAGAAGGAAAGAATCACCGAATTTTCGATGTTGCTCAGATTTATTGGAACGTCATCAGATTCGATTGTAGAGTCGGGCTGGACTTGAGGCGATCCGAATAAAGCGACTGATGCAGAAAATTCCGGACCAATCCTTCTCAGCTCTAACGTACGTGAACGCAGAGCTCGCGGAGGCTTAGGGTTGTTCGGGGATGTTCATAGGTATGTACGAATTCATGGGACCGATTTCCCATACGCATACGCTCGTGCAGCGAATGTCTCCGACATGAAAGATGCGGATGGTGCGACGATGGACGCGGCAAGTGCATGGAGAGGGCCGCCACGGGTCCCGTGCTGACCGAAAATCAAAATTTTCAATGGATTTCGAAGAATACGACTCCGACGAGCGTCCACTTCATGGTGAAGCGGACCTGTTCTTGAGTTTCGATCAAATCGTAGACTCCTACCGTGAGTAGATATAAGAAAAGACTCTCCGTATCCCTATCTAAAGTATCCCCATCATTGTCTCCTATGGGTTTACACTCCCGGGTTTTTGATCCGTTCCCTCCCGGGAACGCACGGAGCTTCCTCTTCTGTGGATTTCTTGGTGATCGATCGTGTAGTGTAGATGCTCGAAAACTTCGTCGAAGACTCCAACCCAACGGAG